ACCTCAGCAGTCAGTCAGATGAATGCTTTGAGTTTGCTAACAATGGCTGGTACCCCATTTCAAAGTGCCAGAACCCTTTCAAATAATTTTGACTATGATACAGAATTAAACAGGGCACAGTAAATAATAGCACGTACATCAAGAAGCTTCACTCTTGGGGGAGAGAGTAGGGGAATGAGAAAGAAAAATGCTCTTTGGCATCTTTCACATCTGTCTTTTATTTTGCTTTCATCAGATCAGAGAGACATTCCAAGTATAAAACTTGCAACTGTTTCTGCTTTAACAGGATTACTTAAATATGGTAGGAACAACTATTAAACCTTGCTTTTATTGTGCAAGTAGACCAATGCATGTAATTCCTCCTGCAGCAATTTTTTCATGGGACTGCTTATGAGGGCAGGAGTAATTGAGGACAAATATTTAATCACCTCTCTTATCTTGGCTTGTCTAAGTGTTAAGATAAAAAGGTAAAAATCGAACCAAGGCACATCTCATACAAATTTTAACATGGATTAATGTCTCAACAGAGAAATTAATAAAAAGAATTGCTCACCATATTTATTCAATGCAAGTGAATTCTTGTTCTGAACAGTTACTACTTTTCTTTTTTCTTTTCCAACAAATTCTGGCCATCCGGAACCATAATGAACATGAGGACCTGAGCAGTTTGGAAGCATCAGCACACTGTGATGGCTGTCAAATTCAGTAGTCCTGTTTCTCAGAAAATACCACAACAGCTATTGAGAGAGGAAGATGACAGAACTGCAGTCACAAAGGCAAACACAATGGCTGTACATTCCTGATGATGCTACTGTGAGCCATTGAGGAAATGGAAGTATAAGACATCTAAACCTTTTATTACAGTTTACTGCAAATCCATGAAGTACTTGTGCAGATTAAAACCAGTAAGACTGTGTGCATTTTTCATGGAAGAGTTTCCATTACTTAAGATGTTAATGATGTTTGCTTGTAGCCAAAGAACAAGCAAGCTTGTTCAAAGAACTCACCAGGTTCTCAGTGACCCAGACTGCAATATAAAAATCCTCTATAATTTACAAAATCATCAGGATAGAACATATATTCCACTGGAAACAATAGCTAGATTATCCCTTCAAATTTGACTATAGCTTTTAAAAGAAAAAAATTGTGTCTCAAATACTTTTATGGAAAACCTATTTCAAGGCTCTCAGGAGAACTGAGCTGGAAAAATCACCATGTAATGGGATAAACTATTACAATTTTAGGGCTGCAAGTGGCCAACATGATTTCTCAGTGCACACTGCCAATGAAAGCAACCCTGTAACTCAAAGGGCAGGAGAAGAGTTAGAGGCAATAATATCCCTGTGTTCAAAAGTTAATAATTTACAACAACACTGAAATCATGCTGCTGAAAGGTGATATAGTAAAGACTAGAAAATAACACATCCCCTGTTTTTCAGAAGACTGGCATCACTTTTGTGTCAAAATAGAAGGAAGCCTCAGCAAAATGCCCAAATATCCATCAGGAGATTGTGAGAATACCTGATGTCTTTCAGTTAAACTGTTGAAGCAGGCTTGGGAAACTTAAGATATACAAGGGAAGAAATCCTTATTCAAAGTAAAAATTATTTTAGGCCGTATTTGCATTCTTTCAGAAACATGCAAAATGTCACTAATCACAGAGCAGGCCAAGTCTCCAGCAACAGAGCAAAGGTTTCAAAATGAACAGACCAGGAATTTAGTTGCATTGTTACTGCCTGGAGATTTTAACAATGCTGTAAGCAAACTAGGGTAGTCTTCAATTCAACAGCATGTGTCAGAAACCATTCATCTTGTCACAAAAGTAGAAATTCCATATTAAATGCCTCAGTCAGTAAATTTTGAAGTGATTTTCAGTGAACAAGAACCTGCAGCATGGAACAGCAAAACTTCAGCAGCTTGCCCCAGTAAATTAGTGTTCACCTAAGAGACATGCAGAACTGGCTCACTGGGAAGGCTGTGCAGCTGTGGAGCAGTAGGGTGGCTGGGTTAGAGGGCAGTGAGGGCACGCTGGGCTCACATGGGCAGCTTGTATCTGCCCATGGTGCAGGAAAAGTGAACTGGACAGAATTCCTTTTTCACAATAAAAAATTTAGAAACAAATTGCAAGTTAGAGGATCTGATGACATCAGCACCCAAGGCTTCAATATGACAAATCCTTTCCTCGTCCCAAACTCGGTAGGACCCTGGCAGCAGCAGCACAAGCTGCCCTACAGTGTCTTACCAAGCCCCAGCAGCAGCAGGGCTCAGAGGCCAGCTCAGTCCAGCCTGTGAGGCTGCTTTGCTGCTGGCCATCCCCACCCAGCCTGCCTGCAAACACTTCCCTGTTAGGGGGTTAACCTTTATCTCCCAAAAGTTTCAAGCTCATTGGCAGGCGGTGAGGCAAAGGCAACAAGATGGGCTCCTGTAGCTTCAGAGCAAGCTGGTCCAGCTGACCTCAGGAGTCAGTTTGGGAAAGCAAAGGAAGGGGAAGCCTTGCTCTGTTGGCAGCAGAAAAGCCAGAGGTCAGTGAAAGCTTTTCAGGGAACTTCACTTGTGGTGTGCAAAGGTCTGGCATCCTGCTGACATCTGCTGAGATTTTACATCTTCACTTACCTATGTCAGGCAATCATTTGCATTGCTTGGAAATTTCCAGCTTCACACATGGCCTGATGTTCTCAAAATGTTTGCGCCACACTTCCCAATGTCTGTAGAGAGCTGGTCTCACAGCACTGGCTCTTCTTTATCAGCTAAGTTGCATTAGACAGAATCTAAAAATACATTAAATACTTTCTAATATTACTTTTTGACATAAGCAGTTACTATAGCTGCAACAAGGATGTTGCAAGAAAGTGCAATGAGGTTGCATAACTCCTTATATTCAGCTGGGATATGTGCACTGAAAGGTGGAAAAAGGCCTTGGAATAAGGTTTTCTGTTTCTGTTTGCCTTAGCATTCATACTTTAACAAAAATATCACAACTTCAAAAACTCAAAAGAGCAGTTGAACTCCTTTTACTTCAAATAGGCAATTAATTTAGTTTAGCTACAAAAATCTACCTGCAATGCAAAATTCAAGGAGATGCTGTCTAATATGTAAGAATCTGACAAATAACAGTTGACAAAGAAGCAGCATCTGAACAAGCTGGGGGTCTGCTGCTTAGTGAGAGGGAATTTAACAGCACAGAGAACCCACCAAATACTACGTGTTTAGCACACAGAAATAGCTTTTTATACCAACTGCACAGAGATGTAGCTCTCTCCTCTCAAGAAACATCCAGTTTGGTTATTCATTCATTTGCAAAGCACATAGAGGAGGCAGAGCAGTACTCCTGAAATAAAGGCAAAGGCCCTGGAAGATGTACAAGTCTGTTTTTTCTTGTGCTGTAACAGTGGTGGATGTGAAATGAAAGCCCCAATAACCATGCTCTAGATACCAACCCAAGCTTCCACCCAAACATACCAAGAATACCAATTTTAGAAATAGTATCTTTGCTTGCTCCCCAAATCCCTGATACTGCATCCCTCATGTTTCTGGATAAATCCATTAAGTTCTTCAGTGTCTGGAAACTAGTCTTTAAAAGGGAGGGATTAAAAATTATTTAATGGGAAAGCAGTTAATAGCACATAACCATTCCCTGCACTTGTGCTGTCACTTCTGTGAAGCTGCAGTGGCTGCTGTTGTGATGTGCTTCTCTTCTGCACCACTTCATTTGCTCAAGCACAAAACAGGGATCATTTAGTTAGTGAAATCTGGATCCCCAGAAGAAAGACTACTCACTTTTTTGAGCAAACCAGTACTGGCTCTGAATAATATAAGCAGACTGATCTTCAGTGCTAGTGGAAGAATGCACTCAACTCACCTTCACCTAAAGGGCAGTTTGCTCAGTCCTCTATAAATTCCTACTGTCCAGAGCTGCATGGGTTCTGATTCCAAGGAATCTCAGGAGGATCCTTCCTGGACCTTCCTCAGTAGAGACATGAATTCATCTCATACATAGCACAGCTTTACCATGCTTTTATGGCTTCCTCAATTCCTTCCTGCTAACAGAAATACACTGGTCAATCAACCCACTGGTCACTAACTAAATCAGCTGCAAGACCTCCAGTGCTCATTTTGTACACACCAAATCCAAACATTATTTGTAAAGATCCTGGCAGAAGGGAGCTCATAGCAACTCCTAGTTCCCATGGAAAGTTGACAAATATGAGCAAGTTATCAAGATATTCCCACAGCAGTTCTAAATTCATCCTTATAATTTCTGTGCACTCAAGTATTGCTATATAACAAAAGCTAAAACCAAAAAATCCAAGGTCTGTATTGTGCATTAAACGTCCTTTTTATATTAACTCTTTCCACCCTAAAAACATTCCCCACTGTAAATTCACTTTGTTCTCCAGCTCTGCATGGGAAATCCATGCAGCCAGTGGTACTGCCTGCGCTGTAACCCCAGCACCCATCACACACAGGCATTTCTTTTCCATAGAGAAAACTGTGAAACAATTGCAGGTTTTCAGGCTTCTCTCCTGCTTCAGAGAAGCCAGCCAGACCCAGGTTTCCCCGTCATAAACTAGGGAACTACACAAATACACCAGCAGCCAGGGCAGGAAGGTCAGTGTTTGCTGTCTCACACATTTGCAGATTCTTTGATTTTCACTGATCGAGCTCTGACTCCCTCACAACAACCCAGGACACATTTCAATTTCCCTTCTGCTCCATCTGCCTACTTTCCAATCACTGCTAAGTTATTTAACATGTATTAAAAATACGGGTAATGCTACTGACAACAGCAGAGTTAAGTAGTAGCAAGTAAGCACATGGGCTTCAGAAGTATGGTGGTTATCATGCTTCAAGCCAAGCAAAGAAGAACTTAGTGTTCACCTTTATGAGGGGAGTTTTTATTTACCAACACTCCCCAAAACTATTTTTAGCAACCTTGCATTTCCATCAGCATGTACAAACGATGTTTGTTATACCATGAATAAATACAAAAGAAAAAGAGCTTTTCCCACAACAGCCTTGATAGGCTACTTTTAATTAAAATCAGTTTAATGATTGATAAGCTCTAGTATTTCCAGCAGCAAATCATAAGTGGTTGACTGTTTCCAGATACAGTGAAAAAACTGAAGATAATATAACTACATAAGCTAGCATAGTTAGTTGGTTTACTTGTTGTCAACGTAGGAAAAATTTGAGGGTTTAACATGTAAATTCAAGAGCAAAAACGAAATCAGTATTTTGTAGGAATCAAAGTTCAGCTATATAAACTGAGGGAATCATTGTTTCCAAGGCTTACTTTTAATCTCTCACAGAATTACTTTTGACATACCTCCTACATCAGAATGAACAAGCAGGAATTTTCAGTATCTCATTAGTATTTAGAAATGGGATGTCCCATGTATCAATTCTGTACAGTTGCTACTTGGAAAGGTTCTTCACTTGTGCCTCTTAAGCAAACAGAGGAACACTGCAAATACCTGTGGCCTCATGTCCTTGCTTTGTTCCCTGGGCTCACAGAGGCAGCAGAAGACAATTCCATGTGCCTGAGCACACATTTGTGCAGATATCCCCTCCTTATGAACAGAACAAATCATATGCAGCTGATCAGCCATACAACAAACAAAAGTTTCTTTCAACACCACAGAGAAAATAGGAGTGAGTATAGGGAGTGTGAAATTCTAGAGCTCTAACAGGACCCTCCCTAGCCCCTTGTCTTCCTTGGTCACTGTCACCAAGAATGCAGTGCTGTCTCAAACAGCTGCTGCATCCACCTGCTTTCCTCAGCCAGTGCTGGTGGGAGGAGCAGACAACACACAGGGGGGAGCATTTCCTCTTTTTACTGTTATTTTATTTTGTAGTAAGATCCACGTAGCATATAAAATATAACAGGAAAAACTGAACGAAGCCTAGAAAATGAACCGAGTTCAGCTGATGAACCACTACAGCTCAACTTCCGTGGGTTCACGAAGTCTCCAGAACTCATGGACTATTTGCTTGTACTATTACAGTTCTCTAGCATATGAGAGCCTACACCAAAAGCTGATATGTTCCAATTAAGCCATAGGTAAGTGACAGATGTAGAGAAAAAAAAAATTGGCTTTTGTAAGCCACAGCTGCCCTTGACAGAGGTTACAATGATGTCTAACTATACTGTAATGCACATTACATCAAGAACCTTGAAAGAGCCTCTGAGAAAACAGCTTCACATTAAGCATTTTAAAGAAAGGTCATAAATACTGCACTGTACCAACAGTACCTCCCAATGTCCTCCTTATGCCTGAGGAGCATTTGTGTTTTGTAAGAAGCTACTATATAGATGACACCAAACCTAGAGGTAGGTTATAGGCCAAGGTAAGTTACAGGCAAAAAAAAAAAAAAAGAAAAGAAAAAAAAAAGAAAAAAGAAAAAGTCCCTTTAGAGCTAGTCACTGCACAGACTGCCCAGCAGGAAGCAAGGCAAAGTGTCAACAACTCTTTCCTCCCACCCTAAACATTGTTCACACAGTGCATTTAGTTCCTAGTGCCCTAAGAATGAGAGTGGATCATCAGCTGCTAGTAAATGCAGTTATGCCAAGAGAACAGCTTGAAATTATTCAAGCAAAAACCTGTTACTGTGCAAAACTGGTGCACTGGACTGTTACCAACCAGACCTCAAGCTTAGAAGGAAGTGACCCAACAGTAGAGAACCAAGGTGTTTTTCTTTTGACTGGGAAATACTTTAGTAACCAACAGGAGAACATACTGCTAAGTCTACATGAAAGGAGTCAAATATCAGCTTGTATCAAAACTTTAGAAACCAAAAAAAAAAAAAAAAAGAAAAATTGCTCGCCACCCCTAAAACCTGGGATCAACACAAGGTTGATAAATATGTGTACATTGAGAAACACACCTGCAAGTACAATAGTTACAGCAAATTAAGCCCAAGTTTTAATGGTGTAATGCCTTCAGGTCACAAAACGTGGACAAAACGTTAATCTTAACTCCCTCTGTGCACTATTTGGTGATAATCAAAGTAATGATGCTGAAGATTCATTTTATTTCTACTTCCAAAAGAAAAGGGCAAATGGTTAAATATGTGTTCTCCAATTTGTTCTCCACTACACGTACACCCACACACATACACACACCCCTCAAACTGCACTGACATTTCTTTTTGACCAAAAGAGTAGATCCTGGGAGTAAGTGCAAAATGCAAAATCAACTGACAGAAAATGCTGAACAAACAGCATCATAAAAATACAAAATATTTATATTACTGAACTATTAACAGATGATGTTCTCTGTTTCTTTAAAACTTTGGAACCACATAGCTGATTTCTTAAATCTAGTCCATGCCAGCTTCCAGAACTATTAATGTTTTAGTTAGCTTCATTCTTTGATGCTTCATCAAAATTTTCTACGAGATCTGAAAAAGATGAAGATATTTAATACAGTAACGGCCAGTAAAATTACCTTTGTAAATTTAATGAAAATGCATATAGTTACAGGAAAGATTAAGTAGTACTTAATTACACTTAGGGAAACCATTTCTTTACGGACAGATTTCAAAGGGCTTTAGAAAATATTGGTTGCTTAAATGTATACAAAGAAATAGAAATGCAGAACAGTGAAAATTCTAACATTAAGTGATTAAGATCTGATTTTCAAAGATGCTCTACCAGCTTTAGCTGAGTTCTGAGCATCAGCATTCTTTAAAGAATGCCTGGCGTTTTAGAGAATTGAATTTTATGCAAGGTCACAAAGAAATAAACCAGTGCCAAGGCAAGAGGAATTGAATCTCTGGTCCACGTGTATGTTGTTTTAGCTAACACACACCATACCAAAGGATACAGTGCAATATGGTTATTGATAAAATAGTTATTTGCTGACAAATAAAGCACTTATATTTATTTTCAGACACTGACATAAGCCTTTTTTCTTCAGCTACAGAAATAAAAATTCCCACTCCAGACCCTGATATGAAAACAACCTGATAACTATGCCAATTATGCCATTTTGCAGTCCTAAACCTCTGTTTGGATATTTAGATACCTGATCAACCTCACTAAAACTATTTTAACCTAGTTTCACTCAATAATTAAGGTAGTTTCACAAGGTAATCCCTTCTTCAAAAGCTGGAATCCCAAGCTGTATTTTAAGACTGCCCTATATAAAAAGCCTCCCGTAGCAAGCAAGAAGTCTGATCACAACAAAAGCTACATATTTAACTGAATCAAAATATTTATCTATTAAGTGAATATAAAAGTGTATATGTGCCTACCTGGGACATCATCATCTTCTTCATCAATATCTTCAGATTTTGGTGCTTTACTATCCAACACTATAAAAAGAAATTTGGTGCTGAGTTCTCATAATACAGAATCAGGGACACTCACACAACAAAATAAAAACCATATATATGAAAAAATCAAGTACTTCCCCAGTCCCCAATAGTGACAAACACACAAATGACCAGGTACTGAGAGTTAACAGCATGACCAAAAGGTTCCCTTAGGGATATTCTGGCAGCAAAGCATTAGCAGAGCCATTTCCAGATGCTATGGAGTATTCATAGAGTTTGAAAGAGATCAAATGATACAGAAAACCCCCAGCATGACTCAATCTTCCAAGTGAAGTTCCATGTTTTAATGCAACAATAATATGGCACCAACCAGTGACCAACATATCGTATGATTCAAATATGCTCATGATGATCCATCTGTCTAAATTTTAGAAGGTGTTTTACGCATTGCTAAAGAAAAACAAACCCTTTCTCTTAAACTCTGAACATGAATGTTGGAGAAATTAAAACTGATTTAAAAGGAGTAAGTGTTTGTTGAAAACATTAGAACAGGTGATGTGTATTCCATTCCGAACACAACTGCAACACATCAAAGAACAGTCATTTTAATGGCCATAGCAGTCTAAACTGGAACTGTACCTAATCTTCATTTTTAACTGTAAAATTACAGTAATAGTTATACCACATACACCCCTCCACCCATGCTCCCAAAGTTTTAAAATTAATAGAAAATAAAGAATCATATGGATAACTGTGACTTGGGTTTTTTTAGTTTTCCATTAAAACTATGATTTTTAATTAGGTTTTTTTTAAGTATTGCTTGGATGCCAAAGTAAATTGTAGAGCAGAAGAACTTTTTTTTTCTTCTATAACTGCAATAGAAATATGTTTTTTATGAAGAAAGAAAACAGAATAGGCTCCCTGACAAAAAACTGGTTGAGTTTTTCCAAGTAAAAACATGAACTTGCTTTGCTCATAGCAGTCTGCCATATACACTTGTACACCTGCTATCATAGCATACCAGACTTATCTATTTCTTTTAAATCAGGGCCTGACTATGCAATCTTGAATCAACAAAGACAAAAAGAAAGGTTGTCCCCCACCCTCTACTTCCAAAACAGTGGCAAATAAAAGCACACACACACTTCTGACTTTTTGAGTCACATGCTTTTGTTAAATTTGGGTTAAAACTTTCAGTAGTTCATATGTCCTTTAAGTCAGCTATGAAGTATTCCAAAAAGACCTACCTTGTCTTGGGAATTGTTCAGCTAACTTCCTGAGACTTGTTAAGCTGTCAGCACCAAGCTGGCTTAAGATGCCTGGAAGCATTTCTGTGATCGGTTTAGCTTCTGCATGACCAGTAATTGCAAAAGTGTTGGCAGAGAGGGAAGCTTGAACCTTGGGGTTGTTGAAGTGAATAACTGTTCCATCATCTTTTATCATGTTCACCTGTTTAAATATATTAATAACATTTACCTAAGTATTGCAGCATCTTGTTACACGAGCATTATAACTAAAATCTAGATTTGAAAAATCAAAAATTACAGAACTAGCACTCCTCCTAAAGGATAATATGATAAAAGCACCTGGAATTAACACCATCTAAATTAACACCATTCAAAGCTCCAACAGCAGCACCTCGCCACATCAGGTTAATCCACTGCCTTTCACAGGTACCTGTGTCACCTACCAGGAAAACATTCCTGCTTTTTCCCAGCTGACAGAGGCACAGGACTCACAATGGCTCAAGGCAGGGATGCACACACAGCACTGGGGGATTACGTACCCACTGCACTAGAACAGACTTCCAATACCTTCCCAAAAATTCCATGAGGGCTCTTAAGACTAAGGACACCACACAGTGATCCTGCTCTCCTCTTCTTCCCTGGCTTTCTGAATCACCAAGAATTCTACCTTACAGTCAGTGTAGTGGCCTGCTTTAGAAAGCTGAAAAGCTTTTTCTTCTGGGCATGGATAAACTATTACGCAAAAAATAATTGTCTGACCGTAGGAAGAGACTTCCACCCATCCAACACAATAGTGGTATAAAACTTACATGAAAAAAATATTAAGCAATGTTTTTAAGTTACAGGGAGAAAAGAGGGATTCAGAACTAAAAACGAGATCTAAAATACAAAAACATCTAAGTCCTCAATCCTTACACAGCAGCAGAGTTCCAAATACGTTTTGAACAGGAAATCCAGGTGTGCTGCTTTCCTGCAAAACTAAGCAATGTCCTGTCCTTTGCCCATGAGGAAATGGTAAAAGCTTCAAGCACAGTTATCCTGTTACTTAAGAGCCTCTTTCAAAATGACACAAATGTGTTATTCATGCTTGACTCAACATTACTCTTCTATCTGCATGAAGCTTACCAAGGTCAACTTGCGTTCACTTGAATAAAACCTTCCATAATTATGTCTCTTGCTATCAAGGTAGAAACATTTTGCATCATCTTCCTACACTGAGATATTTTAATTCCTTAATAACTGTGTCTGAATAAAGATCCTGTGCTCTGTGCACAAAAAAACCCCTGAACATACACTAAGAAGAACCATGTCTTTTTTTAGTTCATACAGCTCTGCATATATGTATTAAGTTTAAGGAAACAGACACACTGAACTGTTTCTGTAACAGAGGTCTGAAAACTTACAGGCAAACCACATTGAATCTGCATTTGCCTTTGGAAGAGAGGAATGCACTTAGTGACTTCTCCATGCACCTTGCAATCCTGCTTCCATCAATTAATCAGAGATTAAATACTGCACTTCTTTAACCAAGTAGTACAAGTACTGCAGCCACACTGAGCTCACGATGGAGAAACCTCCTCCTCTTCCCATGTATGAGGGTCACTCCCTATACTGTTATAGAAAACATGTTTTATTAATACATGTAAATGAGAGGCATTCAAGGAACACCTGAAACCTTCACATTCCCACTTACATTAACACAGAAGCTGCCTCTGTGGAGACTCTACAGTGCTGTAAAAAATATTTCCTGTAACTACTACAAACAATTCCAGCAATTTTTGCGCAGTAAAAGGTCCTAATTTTGGTAATACAGACTCAAGTTCTTAGTCAAGGTATTTCTAAACCTTCCTTCATACTCTGCACCACACTTGCTCTAGATGTGCCTGCCCAGTCCATGTACATTTACTGCTCTTCTCTTCAGAGCAAGTAATCAAATTCATAAAAGTCAAGAATGAAGAGAGGCTTTGTTCTGCAGAAAATGCAAGACACACACACACACATACAGCACACAGCTTACTACCTCCACCACACATTGCCTGGCCAGCAGAACCTGCACCTTTCCTTCTCCAGGCACATACACATTAATGCCAATGAGGCAACAATACATCAAACAACATTACCGCTCAATAACCAGATCTCTATGCTTTTATTGTAAAAAAAAAGCAAACCACACCACACCACCACCAAAACAACAGATTGAATTTAACTTCAAACAGGAAACACTTATGTTTTCACTATACCTCTTCAATGCCAGCAATGTTATTTACAGCCAGTTTTTTGAGGGAACTCTGAAGTTTTTTGTCATCAGCTGTAGCTGTTCTGTGCACCACCTTCTTCTTTCTGCGAGCTGTTCCCTGGGAAGAATCAAGAGACAAAAGTCAGCTCTCCTCAAAATCTCACAAAGACTAATCGCAAAAGTCAGGGCACAGTCTGAGCAACATCTTTCAAGTTATGAGACATTTCTGTAGACAAAAACTATTCTCAACTTATTTCCCTTTACCTACAGCTTTGCCCATCATTCCCAATTTTAAGCTTTTTCTTAAGCATAAAGACCAAAGAAATAGTACACAGCAGTACATTTTCCCTTCCACTCACCCAGGCTACAAAAATTCTACTTAATATTGAGCAATACAGAACAAAGTTTCCCCAAGATATTTTTTCCAAAACAAAGCACAAATACAGTGATTTAAATAGTCCCACTTTGGCAACCAAGTAATTAATGCTTTCAGAGTGTTCCACAGACAGCAATTTTGGAATTCCTGCTTTGAAAACTTCTGTACAATGATCCCTACAACAGGGGATGAGCACCCACACTGAACAAACGACATGCCTTTTTATTGGTCATATTAACCACCCAGTAGCTCAGAGAAAAGAAACAGCTCAGTGCACAGCCAGTGCCTGAAGCAGACACAAAGAAGAAAATCCCCAACAGGAAGACCATAAAGGCAGAACTGGAACATCCAACAGGTGAGATTAGCTGGAGCTTTCACAGGTCACAACAAGTCACTGAATTAAAACAATGCTTGCACACTGGAAACTGCTCATCCAGCCGTTGTGAACTGAAAGAAACTTGTGTTTCAGGTAGCTGCACTATAGGCCAGATCACACAAAACCTGTATTAGTCAAGCCTGAGAATAATTTTTTTGTTCTCTTTCCATGAGCTTCAGTCCATGCTTTCAAAAGCATCTCTGATGGTTTTCTTACCTTTCCTCCTATTCGGACCTGCGCTTGAAGCTTGGCCAGTTTTTCTTGGTTCATAGTGCTATGTCTAAAGAGCAAGAACAAGTTCAACTTAACATCAAAACAGTAACAACAAAAAGTCACAGTCCATTTTAAGAGCACTCTTACAACTGCAGCAGGTTTTTCAAACTTCTAGAACATCACCTAAAACATTGTGTCAAACAAACACACAAAAACAGAGCTTTCAAATTACACCACCTAAACAATCCATAGTGGTCCTGCAGTAGGAAGGACCCACATTTAGCTGAAGCGTCTGTGCCAAGATGAGGCAACTCTACAGGACGTTTCATTCTGCATCAGGCCAAGGTACTCATTTCCAAGATGCCAGTTTATTGCTGGAAGTATTTAACTGAATTACTGGCTCCAACCAGACCCAAACGAGCACAGAGAACTGGGTCTGGGAAAACACTATCTTTACGAGGGTCCAGGGACACAGTCACCACTAAACTACCTGGGATAGTACTCATGGAATGAATCTATTATACTTATAAGTGAGATCCAAACTCTGTGAAGTTCATGTATGGATATATTTACTACCTGAACTTCTGGCAGCTCTTCATCCAATACAGTGACTGGGAATTTTGTGCAGTGCTTCTCCCACGAGTGAGGTGGGACCTTTAAAGGCTAAAAGCCCTGAAAATCCATAACGTGTGAAGAAACGCCTCAAGCCTTCCACCAAAATGAATGCGTTTCGCTGCTCTGCCCCAGCGAGCCACCAGCGATCCCCAGAAATCCCCGCACGTGCTTTGTGCCGGGAACGAGCGGGGGCAGAGCAGGAGCGAGGCAGCGATCGGCGCACGGAGACCCCGCGGGGCGGCGGGGGAAGGGGCTCAGGGTGGCTCGCTGGGCAGCCCCATAGCACGGGAACACGGCTCAAACACGGCTCATCCCTCAGGAGCCCGTGTAGCGGCAGAGCCGCGGCCCCGCGAGCCAGGGCAGCCCCCGCACAAGGGGATCCCTCGCTCGGCCTCTCCCCGAGGAACGGCCCAGTACTGCCCAAGGGGACGGGACCGAGCTGCCGCGGCGCGCCGCCCGCCTCAGGCCGGCGGAGACGCGGCGGTAGCGGGACGCGGCGATCCCGGGACACGGAGACAGCGGGACGCGGGAAGAGCGGCCCCCTCACCTGAGCGCGGCGGAGCCCCGCGGCCAACACGCGGCGAGAACAAGATGGCGGCCGAGGAAGGAAAGAGAGGCGCACAGAGAAAGGAAGCGCCGCGCCACGTGACGGCGCCAGCCCGCCCAAAGATGGGCGGGCCCGCCCACCTCATGTATATAGAGGCGGCCGTGTGGCGAGCAAGGGCTCCTGGGAGTTGTAGTCCCCAGGGAGCAGCAGTCGCCGCGCCTCGGGGCAGGGAGCGGTGCCCTGTGACTCAAACTGGGACGCGGCGCTTCCAAACGCGTCACCAGTCGCTCTGTGCCTCTCACTGAACCCTCCCTCACACGCTGCGCTTGCGGTCGGTTTTGCTTTCCCGACAGCTAGGCAACTCCAGAGAGCAGCGCGACAAAAGGGTTTATTTGGGAAAGAGAAAATAAACCCGGAGCCACTCCCCTCCCACCGCTGCCTGCTCCCGTCGGGATAACGCTGGGGTTTGCCCAGGGGGAGTAACTAGGACTCTGAGCCCCGGTGCGATGACTCCTACCCCAGGGGTCCCGGCTCCCCGTAAGGAGCTGAGCCCATCCCGGGCCCCCCACACCGCTCCCGCGGCTGCCTCCCCCAGCACCGGCGGGCGAGCCGTCGGAGCGGCGCACCGCCCACATCCGCCACACATCACTTCCCGGGCTTTAAAAACGGGGAAAGGAAAAAAAAAAAAAAAAAAAAAAAAAGAGGAGGGAAAGGAAAAAAAAAAAAAAAAAAAGGTCTAGCTAAGCGGGTCCTGTCCTGTGCGTAGGTTCGGGGCCGTACCCGGGTGCCGCCGCAGACACCATGAAGGCTCAGCCCGCGGCAGCCTCCGTCCTCTGCCTGTGCCTGGTGCTGGCGGCCTGCGCCGCCTCCGCCGCGGGAGGGCTCGGAAAGGGTCAGACAAACGCTTTCTTCGGCTTTCCCCAATTCCTGTCCCCACTCGGGGCCACCGGGCGGGGGCAGAGGACGTTCCCCTCAGCCTGCGGGGCCGCCGGGCGGGAGCAAAGGGCGCAGCTTCGGGCTTTGGAGGTGCGGGGGGGCTTCGCGGGGTCTCCGCCGTTGTGGTCGGGTTCTGGCCGAAGCCTTTCTGAGGGCTCTGCGGAGCCCGGGGGAGCAGCCCCGCGGTGCCCCGTGCCTGCCCCGAGCCCCGCCGGGCTCCTGGCGGGCGTGAATGGCCCTTCCCTCCGCCCGCGGCTTCCCTTGCCCTTCGTGCCCGCTCCTCACCTCGCTCCTGGCTCGCCCAGGCTCCTTGCCTAATTACCGTATCTAATAGCCCGGTTCATTCGGGGCCTGGGCTTCTCCCCGAGTGGTGGCTTTGCCGTAGAGGTAAATCTCCTCCTCAAGGCTGGTTGTAACCAATTTGATCAATGACAGCAAAGCTGTGGTGTGGATCCCAGCCAGCCATTCACCCTTTAATTCCCCAAATTACTTTCATTCAAAAGATATACTCTGTAATGTGTTGGGCAATGCTTTTGAAAACACAGTGTAGCTCACCACGAAGTGGGGTTTGTTTTAAATACAGAAAAGCTTTTGAAAAGTGTTTCCCAGCTAGAACAATAGAAAGTTTTTCCTATTTTAACATTTTGGCCTTTGACTGAAATTGCTGACATGTCAATATTCTGGGTGAACATGACCTGTGCTATTCCAGCTGGGTTTTTGCTCTGGGGATGTTGAGCTCGTACAAACGTAGTCCTGTGTCGGGGGCTGCCTCAGCATTTGCTGTGTGGGTGTGAGGGGACAGGGACGAGGCATCCCCACCCTGCTGTGAGCTCATCTCTTTGATGTGTTGCATCACTTATGTTCATGGTTGCTCATATCAGCAGAGATCAGGTAACACAAACACTGTGCCTGTGTCCACACCTCCTGGATGCTGAACAGAGGTGGCCCAAAGATTTGCTGACGCTGTTTTGGGCTTCCTCCAGCTTCTTTGCCCTAGTTGTGTACTGGAGAAAATGTCCACTTTCCCCTATGTCTGCACTGGGTGGGCAGTCTGTGGCTCCTGATCTCTGTGCAGCTCCCAAAATCTCCTCCCCTAGGCACCTCGGGCATGGTGGGTTCCTGACTAATCCAAACCCTTATGGATGGGAAGGGGCGAACCAAGGCTCATATTTGGCCATCCAGCACAGTTAATTGTTAATTACTGGAACCAATGCCTCTGAGGAGGTGTTCCAAGAGAGTTCCTCTTTGTACAGCTCCTGGATCTCCTTCATCTAAGCTTTCCAGGTGGCATTTGGCTATATGCTCTGTTGGCTACTAAAAAAACCCAACCCTGGCAGTCACTGCTTTACAGCTGTTAAACATACCCTGACTCACTCTTAAGTCAATTGACATAACAAGACTTGTTATCTGGATGTCAGATAAAACGTTTCCTGCATCGTTCAGTCACTGTAACACTCAGAAATCTGTATAATGGTGTTCTTTCTTGCTCTTCCATGATATTATCATCAGCAGGAATACTTAGCATAATAGTTTCAGAGCAATTAATGATCATATGTTTGCCTCGAAATTTTTAAGTTTCAGTTTAGTTCACCTTCAGTGGGATTTAGGAAGATAAATGCTGAGATGTTTAATTTGTCACTCATCAGATAATAAATGTTCACAGACTGAAAAAGAACGGAGAATAATCAGAAGGCACTTCAATTTTAATATCTCGGGGATTTTAGTGTTATTTACATACATATATAGAAATATTCATGAGCATGGTATGTTTTTGCTAATTAATTTCAATGGGATTCCTCATACGACTGTGTGGGCTGTAAGTATTTGCAGAAGTCTTTCCAGAAGTGGGGCTATAGTTGTCTTTAAAAAAAGAATATAAAATGAGTTGAAAATACTCGAGTGTTGGGCTGTTTTCCTCTATTAGCTGACATGTTAAATTATGCAGCATTTATAAACTCCTCTCTCTGGCAGGTTTTGGAGATCATATTCATTGGAGAACACTAGAAGATGGGAAGAAAGAGGCAGCAGCCAGGTATGTTTGTTGGTTTAAAATACAGAAGTTTGTCTTCAGAAGCATTCACAATGGTTCTATTTCAGGCGTAAATTTAACCACAGAAAATAGTCTCTTTTAACAAAACTGAGGGTGGTTTAGGAGACTCTTCAGATCCCTACAGGTTATTGGAGAGAAAATACAGAATTTTGTTAAGTTTGCTAAGGCACCAGCTAGGTTTAATCACTGCAGTCTAATTAAATGATTGAAGCCCTAGCATGTCCTCGAAACAAGAAAATATTTATTTATCACAGTAAAGAAAGATACGGTTCTCCAACACACAAATGCAAGTGTAAGTGGTTCTCAAAGCCCTTAAACTCAGCAGTGCTAAGAGCTTCCCTAAAATTCCTTGTGCCTGTACAGATGAGGTCTCAGCATGAGATATTTTGCTTCCATCTGCAGCAAAAACCTGGAAGTTTCAAACTGTAGTGAACTGACAGAACCTGGTTTGGGCTAAGCTTAAATTCTAAAAAGAACAATGTCTCAATGAAAAATTACATCTTGACTTTTTTCTTTCTCAGAGTTTCTTCTGCTTCTTGTTAAAATCCAAGAAGGAGAATGGCATGCTTATAAATTCTGCTTGCATTTTAACTTTCTAACCTAGATCTGACAATGCTGACATGAGCAGAAATTGCTCATGCCTTCCAGGTTTGCTGTTTAATTTAGCTCTGCTCTCAAACTGATCCATCTGGCAAGTTCTGCACTCCAGTGCAGACACTGAATTAACCCAGATGGTACACTTCAGAAGTCTTACAAGTTTTTATAACTTGATACTTTAGCATTTTTGAAAAAAAAAAAAAAAACAAACCAAAAATAGATTATTTCAGTTTTTACAGTTATAATTGTAGCAGCAACAGAGGAAGGTTTAAAATGAGGCAGAAGAGAGTGGGAGGGATGGCAAGGTCTGAACTCTCAGGTTTAGGCGGGTTTAGTGTTCCTGCTCAAAAAGACCCTACAGCAAGGGATGGGATTGGGTGTGAGCCACACTTTCCTTTCACTGCTGATGCACAGGTCTGCTCGCTGATTTGAGCGCGGCAGCATTTGAGTGTTACTGAATTGAAGGATTGGGAGAAACTACTAGTTTCAGAGAAAATATAAACGTAAAAAGTACTTTTTTTTTTTCCCCTAAGTCTGACCATAAATCAAGAAATGAAAAATTACACAAAATTATCTGGGATGCATCAAGTGAGATGCACCAGAGCCGGTGGTCTAGGAAATTCCAAACCTTCCATTTAATGTCTGTAAACTCCAGAATGTCATGGAATACTGGGGACTTCTCAGTTTTAAGTTCCTTGCGGCCGAGGGCGCGGTCCCTTCGTTCTACCAACTGCTGCGGTGGCGTTTTTAAGCGGGACGCCTCGCAGGGCGGTGTCGCGGTGCCGGGGCCGTGCTGGGGCGCGGCGGGGGCTGCGCGGGGCGGCCGTGCGGGGCCGGGCGAGCTCCGGGTGTGCGTGAGCGGCGGAAGCAGTCGCTTCACGTCCGGGTCGGGTGTCGCTGGCGGGGCGATGCCGCTGGTGGTGCTGTGCGGGCGGCCCGGCAGCGGCAAGAGCCGGCGGGCGGCCGAGCTGCGGGAGGCGCTGGGCGGCCCGGAGCGGGCGGTGCACGTCGTGGCCGAGGCGGAGGGCGGCCGGGCGGCGCTGCGGGCCGAGGTGGAGCGGCGGCTGAGCCGGCGGGACGTGGTGATCGTGGACGCGGGCAACGAGCTGCGGAGCATCCGCTACGAGCTGTACTGCGCGGCGCGGCAGGCGGGCACGGCGCGCTGCCTCCTGCACTGCGCCGGCGGCGCGGGCGGCCCCGACGAGCCGCCCTTCGAGGAGCCCGACCCGAGCTGCCGCTGGGACCGGCCGCTGTTCACGGTGAGCGGGGAGGAGCCGCTGCCGCTGGGCGCCATCCGCGCCGCGCTGTTCGAGAGCGCCCCGCCGCCGCCGCACCGCTCCACCCGCACGCAGCCGCTGCAGTCCTGCGGCTTCCTGCACCAGCTGGACCGCGTCACCCAGGACGTGCTGGCCGCCGTGCTGGCCGCGCAGAGGAGCGGGGCACAGCCCGGGGAGACCATCCGCGTCCCCGGCGTGGCCGAGGGACTGGTGCTGAGCCGGCCCGTGAGCGTGGCCGAGCTGAGCCGGCTGCGGAGGCAGTTCATCA